AAGCTGGATTGGGCCTAAAAGCTTGTTTCTCTCTGTTCACTGGCCCAGAGCACCCCTACAGGCTGCAGCCCCCTAAGGGAAAACAATGCAAATAGATGTCCCCAAATCTCTGGCACTAGAGCTGCTTAACTCTGTTCTGCCCCTTCAACTCCCAACCCCCCTCCGTGTCCTTCCACCACCCTCCCCTTTTTGAGCAATGGAGCTGGGAACCAATTTGATTCCCTTTTTCTCCAATGCAGCTGCAAGGCTCAGAGATACTGACATTTCCCCACTCTTATCAGTTTAATTACAGTTACCATGGCAGCAAAGTGCTAGTGCTTGGCAAAGGCCAACAAGAGATTTGCAAGACTGGGTTCAATTTTGATGCAGCTCACATGCAAAATAAAAAAAAAATAAGAAACATACATACACTCTAACAAAGAATCCCCTTGCGGAGTTTATGATCCAACCTTTTGTGGCTGTGTCTTTGCAGCCACACAGGGATGGCTTTGCAAAGAATGTACCAGTATTTGTGGCACCTAGTGAGATTAATTGGTCGAAAGCAGCAGTCTTTAAAAGCAGTAGCAACAATAATATTTTGTATCTTCAGCAGATAGAAGAGCTGGCAGGCTTTGAAGCTAGCCAGGAGTGCCGAGCGCCCGGAGAAAGTGCCTCTATGATAGACTGTAACCTTACCAAAACTTTTCTCCTGTTTCTGCATGAGTTGACTTAGGCGTGCCTGAGTCGCTGAAGCTTCGCATGGAGTACCAAGCCCACCACAGGCAGGAAGTAGAAGAGGGGAGTCACCTGGATTTGGGGCCCTAAGCGTGGATCTGGTGAGCAGCATACAGGGCCGAGAATCCACTATTGTGAAGCCACTTTGGGAGCTGGGGTCTAGTGGCAAGGGAGGCTGGCGGTGGGGGAGGGGATGAGGGAACGTGTAAAATGATGGCGAATGACAAAGCCACATGCTTCCCTAACTCTGCCCGTAATCCTAAAATCCCAGCGGCCCCTTTTAGCTTCCCGGTAACAAATGGATTTGATTAAACCGTCACAGGCAGTGTTAGCATAGCATATCGTGTTCGCTATGAAAAAGATCATAAATCTGACTTGTGTTTCATAACAACCTCTGAGTAGCCCCCTTTAAAACGTGCTGGATCTCTAGACCTGTTAGGATGCAGGCACTTGGGTCCAAGGAACCTGCTTCTACTGGGCACTTGTCTTCTCTCTGCCTACCCCTACATAGTCACTTTCGCAACACACGGAAGCAGTGTTTTGTTATCAAGGCTGCACTGGGTAAAAGCAGGGGTGTGGAAAAGAACAAGGTTGTAATTTGAACTCTTTTACGGTGGTAGTGGGGGGTATGCGTTTCCAAGCAGGCATGGAGAGTTCTGAGGAAATACCCAAGACTGACACCACTTCACTTAGTCTGGAAGCAACATCCCACCCTCCAACCTTTGCAAACTGTCCCAACCCGTCTTCCTGAGTCAGAGTGTGTGATTGCTGCAGCTCCCAATGAACTTTGTCTATTATGCTCTGGTCTCCTACTTGAGATGTCGCGCTGCAGCCGCACGCTCCCCTTCTTCCTCATCTTCCGCCCCGCATATATTTCGTGTCTCACCGTAAAAATAATGATGCCTCCCATGATTTAAACAAAACAAAACAAAACAAACAAAAACCATCTCTGCAGACCTGCAGCCGGGTGAAAGTTGCAGTGGTGGCGGTGCGGATGGTTCGGGTACAGCTTTACTTTATGCTTCATTGGGAGAGGATGGGGAAGAATAAGAAAAAAAAAAAAAAAACACCCAGCATCCACACACGCACGCGCGCACCCGGAGACACACACAGCACAAATGAGCCGACGCGTGTATACACAGCCTCTCACTTACCTTCTCAATTAAGCGATACAGGGAGGGTGTTCAGTGAGCACAGAGGCTGCTTGGTAGCGCTTCTCCTTGGGAAAGGTCAAAAAGAAACATTGTTTGAAAAAAAAAGGGGGGTGGATCGCTATTTTTTTTTTAAGTTTAAATTAATGAGGTCCTCCAGGATCCGCAAAGTACCAGTGTGGACCGCATGCGAGCCACAGGTGTCCTTCTTTTAGGCAACTGCAGTCCGGGGGGGATGTCTCTCTTGGTCCTGGCTCCAGACAACTTACCCCGGCAGCGTGCAAGGAGCCCGAGCTGAAGCAAGCCCTGGCTCTCAGCCGCAAAATGCAATCCCTTCCCAGCCAGACATAATACAGCCCAAGAAAAGGTCACCCAGTTATTACAGCGCCACGGAGCCCAGGCAGCGCCTGTCAAGACCACAGTGGAGGCAGCTCCCTTCCGATTTAAGAGTATTTACCTCTCGCCCACCCCTCCCTCTTCTCCCTCTTCCTTCTCTCCCTCCCTCTAGCTGGCTCCCTTGCTCGCTTGCTCTCTCTCTCTCTCTCTCTCTCTTGCTCGCTCTCTCGCTTGCTGGCTTGCTAGCTTGCTCTCTCTCTCTCTCTCCGCTGTCTGTTCTGCAGCTCAGTCAAGTACAGCCGCCCTCGGAAAGTGCAAAAGCAGCCACGAGACAGATCCAGGCTTTGTTGCTAATTTCCCAGGGTGAAAATTGACAAGCCTGCGAGTGCAGTCAGCACAACCCAATGCATATGCTTCTGACAAACGCTGGGGACCATCCCTTCCCACCCTTCCCCATCACACAGAGAATGTGACCTCTGCAGGACCGGACTCCGGAAGGACCAGGACCGTACCTCTTGGACTTACGCACAAGAACTGCGAAAGAGCATAAGAGAAGGGTAGGGCTTCCTAAAATAACGGGGGCATTTTGGAATAGGACGGGCAAGCTGGAAGCAAATTTCCCTCTAAATCTATTACTGACAGTGCCAGTGGATGAAGTTAAAATAAAAAGCCAAGGAATCAAAGTGCTACCGGGATACATTGGAGAAAGGCACAGTTCTCCCTTTCCGTGAATGTCTGGGCACGGGTGTGGAGGGGTGGGGGTGCCGGGTCTGCAATCGCCCGGGCTATGACTTCCATTCAGAAACTCTCGGCAGTCCCTGCTCGGAAAGTCTTGGCACACAAACCCAGTCCAGGCAATGCTACACACACCCCTTCCTCTCTCTAATGGCCCAAAAGTCAGACTGTGAACTCCCCCCTCCCACCGGGTGCTGAATCCACAGTGACTACTGAAACACACTTCCTGTAGACACTTGCATACTTACTTAGAATCTGCTTCAATGCTAAAGCCCAAGAAGTCCAAGCCAGGCTTTCAGGACTAAGAGGGTTCCCTGGCCAAGCTCCTCTTGTCCTCGGCCTTCATGGACTTACTTTAAGGCCTTGATAGCTGCTTTTACCTTCTCTTTAAATCTGTTTCCTTGAAAGAGGTCCCGTTTCCCCTAACCTCCCCTCTTCACTCTGCTTCCCTGTAGGTCACCAGTAGCTCTAAAACATCTTCTTTTTCTACGACTTCAAACTTCAGTCATTTTCCCTTTGGCAGCTCTTGCAAGGCCCCCTCAGCACATTTCACAGAGCCTTGTCCAAAGATCAAACCTAAAAACAGCGCACATTTGAATGACCCTGACTGAGATGGTTTAAGTGCCAAGAAAGATTCAATTGTTGAACTACATAAGCAAACAAACAAACACCCAGAACTCAAAGCAAAAAAAAAAGGTCTTTTCCTCCTCTGCACCAACAATTTTAATCTAGTTCTAAGTTTTACTTTATTAGTATTATTTTTTTAACCAAAGCAGTCTCCTTGAATACTTATGCTAAATCACGCTTCCCTGTATCCTGGTACCACAATGCACAATGCTAACTTATTTTTTAACCCCAACCTTCAGAAGGCTCAAGATAAAATAGTACGTCTTGCTTTTTTATCCCTTTCAAAGACAACAAAACTCAGAACCAACCTGAAAAATAAGGATATTCAGACAGGCAGAGAACACTGAGAACCCCTTCTGCTGCTCAGTCTGCAAGCAGACTTCTTAAGTTTTGGCTTTTTCTGGCCGGACCACTCAGCACACACACCTCAGCCATTGACACAGCTCCCAGCAGGTCTACTCAGCCTTCCAGCCACAGCTACTCTGAAACACCCAGTGTGCATGTGTGTGTGTGTGTGTTTTGCCTGTTCTCTCCAGCAACCAATGTACTGAGAAGAAAAGAGGGAGGGAGGGAGAAAGGGAGGGAGAAGAATGTGTGGGTAAAGGGAGAAATAAAATCAAAACAAATGGTACAGCTAATGAGGACAATTAAATTAATTATGTTCAAGGAGGATGAGATTTTTTTTTTCCCTCCAACTGTATGATCTGTTACCCCTCGCTGGCAACTGCTTCTCCGTAATTCATGGCAACTGATGAGTGCATCTATGCAAATCTTTGTTTAAATCATTCAACTAATTAAATGATGGGATTATTCCTCTGCCTACGGTGACATCATTCGCAGTAATTAGTACTCTTTTGGACTGTGGCAGTAGGATCCCCCATATCAACACACCAACCTGCAAAGGCATTAACCACGTTGACACCTAAAAATAAATAAATAAAAAGGACAAATATCTAGAGCTCTAATTGCATCCCATTCTCTTCCTCTCTCTCCCCAACCTTCCTTTCCCTCTCAGTTTTACCATATATCCCATACTTGGAGAGAAAGAAGAGAGAGAGGGAGAGAGAGAGAGGGGGGAACTTAGTGAATAATATGCTAAACCACATGTGTAAAAGAATAAAATGGAATAGTTAACATTCAGCTCCATGCCATTCATTTTCCCCTAAAATGTAATGATAATTAGATGGGTCATAAAATGCTCGTCTTTTCATTATGAGTGATGAAATGCATTAAAGCTGACAGGGTATTACCTGACAGTAATTAGGTTTTGTCATGAATTAAATTATTTGAAAGCAGACTATCTCCCCAATCATGCAATTTACAGCAAGATTTTTTTTAATCTGTGCCACAGAAGAGAGAGATAGAAAATAGCAGTTTTTCTCTTCATAATCATATGAATTATTCACAGAAAAAAAAAAAACATCAGAAAAACCCAGTGCAGATGAAGAGGCTTGCCACTTAATGTGTACAGATGTGATCATCAGTGCTCGCCGACAATGAAATATACAAGTGCACACACGGTGATCTGGTGAACAAGAGGTGGGATTTAATCATCTTCTGCTGACACTTTGTGCAAAACACCATTAACCCCCAGCGAACCCCCTGTTTTCCTGGCTCCCCCCAGCCCTCAAAGTCTCAGCCCCTCCTGTCAAGGAAAAAAGTGGAAGAAGAATGTGCTTTTGTTTACTCAGGCAAGCTGAAGGTTGGATCCAGCCAGGCAAGCACTTTCTTCATTTCCTGAGAGTAAACTACCCACTTTAATTACACATGCTTCGGAAATCTTTGTAAACGGATTGCCATCGGGAACCACATCTTCTTGGTCCGATTATCTTTTGCCTGTCCCTTGTTTCTGCAACTTATCATAGATAGGATGAGAGAATTTAACTCAATTCATTCCACATACACTAACACTTAAAAGAAAATTTAAAAAGAAAAGGTACATTATCTTTTCCTGGGCTCTTATATTATGAGGGGAATGGTAAGGGGTATGTGTGACAGAATGGGGAAGGGGGCTTTCAAGGGGGTAATCAGATATATGCTACTTACCTTTGCTCAAAAGAGATCTTGCACAAGAAAACAGTGTATGTGTGTGCCTGTTCCTAAATATGTCTTCAAGTTTTCAGCCGTCTCTTTCTGCAAAACACACCTCACAGATAACTTTTGTATAGGGATGTTCAGGAGTGGTTTCTGTAGTGTCCCAGAGATGCTTCTGTTGGGGTCGCAGTCTTTTTTTTTTCTAAAGGTATCAGACAGGTTGTTGCTGTGAGTAGGTGAAAGCCAGCACCCCCTCTAGAAGTCCAGCTATAGTCAAAGGTGTCAGTCAAGGGAGGAATGAGGTTGACCAGGCCCCCTGCTCACACAGTCCCACCATCCCGCCTGGAGACGCAGCCACACAAATGAAGGAGCCTCTCGCTTCCGCCTTCCTTGGTTTTCTGACGTGCTTTTCTCTCTCTTACTTTCTTCCCGAACTGCATACAAACCCTGAGTGGACCAGAGCGGCTCCTCCAGTATTTAAACACCTCGCCAGGTCCCTAGTTAGCAGCTTCCTTCAGCTCATCCAAGAAGCTGACAAGCACTGTTAAAGGAGGCTGTACATGCTGCTCTAATGGACCTCATTAAGTTCTACTTACAGATGTTCTCTTAACATAATTGATCTGCGGTGAGTTGAGAGGACTGCAACTTATTCCCTAGCCCCCAATTATGGTTGGGTAATTAGATCCCCAACCTCCAATTTTTCACATTCACCCTTCTAACATTCCAAAATATCAAAGTATGTCTCTCTCCAAAGCTCCCCCTTACCGGACTCCACTCTCCTCACTGTATTGACAGTTAGATGTGCTCTAACCTTTGTAGTGACGCCAATTTTAATGGTGCATTCAGACCATTGACAGAGTCGTGTTTCTCCCCCAGCCTCTCTCCTCTCCTCTCTATGCACCATTCCCTCCCACTCCCTTAACCCTTAGAAACAAAAGGGTAAAAAAAAATCCTCTAACTTGTATAGTTTGTACTTTTGATAAAAGGTTCGGGTGATGAGCCCTGGCATGGCCGCTTCCTTTCTAATGTCTTTTTATCTGTATTAATTCCTCAGATGAAAACTTTAAGGAACAATGAAGGAGAGAGGTGCCGCTCTGAACCGGTGAGAAGAAAAAAATTACACAGCACACCTGGGACAGATGAAGCCAAACTAGTGCTTTTATAATGCCAATCAGCGCGGCTGTTAGCATCCCTCTAATTAGGAAAGCAGCCTAAAACAGAGCGCACTTGGGGAAATGGTAATGTTATGGTTTTGCACTTAAAAGGAGCACATTTCCTGCGCTGTAAGGATCTGGGATTGGGGCTGACAAGTCCTTTAATTAATGGCAGGATTCCCTGTGTGTGCAAGTGTGTGTGCTTGTTTTAATTCATAAAAGTGGACAAAGGGTGCTAGGAGGGGGGGTGTTGTGGGAAGGGAGGGGAGAACCCATTAGTTTGAAGATGAGCAGAGTTCATAGCTACAATCATTTTTTTTTTCTTTTTTAAATCCCCAAAGGACTAAGGTGCAGAACTGGAGTGAGCAGCCCCCCCTCCCCCCACTGAACTTGAATGCTGGGATGAATAAAAGCTTAAGACCACAAGGCAAACAGAGTTTTAGATAACTCCTGTCTCAAGTGGATCACTCTTGTCTCTCCTACAGCCCTTCCCTCTGTCTCCTTGGGTAGTGTTCCCCGCAGTCCACCTGGGCTCCTGGATAGTGTTCCCTACTCAGGAGGGTCTGGACTTCTCTTTCATTTTCCAATATGGAAGACATATGTGGTGTCAATTATTCCAGGATCCAGATCATGCCTCTTTCTTGTTAAATGTGAACAAGTATCCTGAGAAAAAAAGTGTTAGTATTTGTTTTTTGGAGGGCTTTGAAATATCACTTTGAAGCTGGAAGCATCGAGTTCACACAAGGTTTTAAATGGCTTTTGAATGCTTGGGAGAAATTTACCAATAAGTCCAAAAACTGTTTCAACATTTGCCCTCTCCTGCCCTCTGCAGGGATTCACCAATAGGCACGCAACTGTCCTTGGGCACAGTAGGTTTCTACTAGGTGGGTTGTTTAAAGTTTATAATTTATCTTTTCAAAAATAAATTCCAAAGATTCTATTGCCATCTCACACATGCCAGCATGTAGCCTAAAAATAGGAATGGTCACCAGAGCTACAGTGATGGACAAACAAATTTAACTTCCATCAATTTAGTGTTTTACTTGGGACTCTCTCTGTGAAACAAGCAGGACTTCTGAGGAGATCAAAGTCTAGCGACTGAAAAAAAAAACCAACTTAAATTTGTGTTCATAAGAACAAAATAGTTTTGTATTAGTGTTTTTATTTTTTATTTATATTTTACACCTTTGACGTCTTCAGAACCAATTTAAGGAGAGTCTTGGAAAGACAAGATGGTTAAGCAGTATCTTAAGGAGGTAGAAAGTGAAACCTCATTGTCTAATGGTTGACATCTCAATAAGATGAGAAGAAAGAGGAAGCCCAACATTTTATTTATATTTTATCAGAGGTTATTTCTGCAGAGTTTGAAACACAATAAATGCCATTCTGTTAGCAGCCATTCGAAAGAAAATGTTCATCACTTTAAAATGCAATTGCTTCCCCCCAACAAAGTGTCCACTCTATCTCTCCTCAAGTTCTTCCAAGCGGCTGAGAAATCAGAGATATTTTACATACCTTTGTACGACTCATTTAACTATTAAACAATCAGATGTAGCTTTAATTCACTGAAACCCCTTACCATGGGATAAACATCCATCCATCCATCCATCCATCCATCCATCCATCCATCCACCCATCCATCCATCCATTCACCCACCCATCCATCCATCCATCCATCCATCCATCCATCCATCCATCCATCCATCCTTCCAAACTTACATACATGCATGTACATATATACACTTACATACACAATACATGCATATATATTTATTTGTTTAAAAGGACAATAGATAATTCGAGAAGAAAATGCAGCTGAGATCCTATTTACAGGATCTAGCCTGGGGAATATGCTTTAGAAGAAAAACTCTTATGCTAAGGACTACTTTGTCTTATAAGAAAGCAAAGAGCAATGGTGCGGGAGAATTATCTGTATTCTGTCAATCATATTTTAATAAAACGCTGATTGGCCAGGCAGGCAGTATAGGCGGGAAAGCCAAACAGGAAGTAGGGGTGGAGCAAAGAGACTGGGAGAATTCTGGGAAGCAGAGAGGTTCCTCTGCCATTCCTGTGCAGACCACGGAAGAAGCAACATGTAAGCTGTCACACTGAGAAAGGTAATGAGCCCATGTGGCTAACGTAGATAAGAATAATGGGGTAACATAAGTTATAAGAGCTAATAAGTAGCCTGACCTAATGAGCCAATCAGTTTATAACCTTATGGAGTCTTGTGCGTGATTTTTCCTTGGGACTTGCTGGCTTGTTGGGGTACTGGGTGGGACAGAAACCCCAACAAGCCAGCCCTCATACTACATATGGCGCCAACGTGTGGACAACTGTATCCACATAAAGCTTGAGACAGCTTGGGAAGTAATTCTAGAACAAAATAACAGCATTGCATGGTTTCTTGGTGGCAGCAATTTCTCGGGTCTGTTCTGCTTGCTAGAGGCAAGCAAATGCTCTCATCTAAGAGAGGCTTCCTAACTCAGCTTTAGCTGCAAAACTTTGTAGCTCCTTTAAGAGGTCCTGCCGCGAAACACTTAAATGGTATTGATGAAAAGCTGAACGCATGCTTTTCGGTTTTCAGTCGTAGCAGGAAAAACGCTGCGCTGTTTTAAAATGCCGGCTTTCTGGGCTGTCCTGCCAGGGCAATCTCTGACTCTTTCAGGCAGGCAGTCCGACTGAGTGTGGTCTGTGAGCAGAATGCTGCAGCTTGCTTGCTAGCAAGGACCTTGAAACGCCATAGAGTTGTGGCAGTAAACATAGCTCTGGCTGGTACCTCAGCCACGAGGATTTAGCCGTCAAAGCCACTGCTCTCCATATTGCTTAGTAAATTAAAGGCTCATGTGGTCAGAAAAAGAGAGATATACAGTAAAGAGAGATTCAAAGAGGAAGAAAACCTCTAAATATTTTACAGTGTGTTAAAAATATATGCAGGCTAAAAGTTAAAGTTCTTAATGTAAAAAAAAGGAAGAAAGAGAATAGTTGGGTGTGGTGGTACACACCTTAAATCCCAATGCCTGGGAGGCAGAGGCATATTGACCTCTGTGACTTCAAGGGACAGAGGTAGAGATTGACCTCTGTGACTTCAAGGTGTGGTAGTGCACACCTTTAATCCCAATGCCTGGGAGGCAGGGACAGACAGATCTCTGTGAGTTCAAGGTGTGGTAGCATACACCTTTAATCCCAGCACTGGGGAGGCAGAGACAGGAGGATCTCTGAGTTCAAGGACAGCCTGGTCTACAGAGTTATTCCAGGACAAAGATATACAGAGAGCCTGTCTCAAAAAGTAAAAGTAAAAATAAAAGAAATAGAAGTAAAATAAAGCTGCATAAAGATGGAAAATACACAGAGAATCTTGATACTGTGTGTTATGCTCTCTTTTAATTGTTTGAATGCTGAGGAAGGAGCAACAGTCACCAAAAGACATTTGTTTATAAATGCTGCTGAACTAACCCAAGATAGACATTTTGAAAATACCTTGGCTTCAAAACTGAAGTCAAAAGGTATGTTACTTTGGAGAAGAGATTCTGCTTTTGTTTCCACAGAAAATGAGAGGCTATGGATTTATTCAGAGTTAAGAAAAATCATCTTTGACCAAGGGAGGCCACCTGAGAAATCGACAGGAACAGATGGCCCAGATGACAGAGTTCTACATCCAGAACTGATTCAAGACTGCTGCCTGAGATGATCAAGACTCCCAGGATACTTCAGTCAGGACTTGACTATAACTCTAAATTTTCTTTAGGTCCCCTTAAGACTATCAGCGCCCCCAACCAGCAGGAAGTAGCCTGAAATACTACGCCTACATTCCCAACAAATGGATTATGGGTATTTTTCCTTTGTTTAAAAAAAAAAGAGAGGGAAATGGTGCGGGAGAATTATCTGTATTCTGTCAATCACATTTTAATAAAACGCTGATTGGCCAGGCAGGCAGTATAGGCGGGAAAGCCAAACAGGAAGTAGGGGTGGAGCAAAGAGACTGGGAGAATTCTGGGAAGCAGAGAGGTTCCTCTGCCATTCCTGTGCAGACCACGGAAGAAGCAACATGTAAGCTGTCACACTGAGAAAGGTAATGAGCCCATGTGGCTAACGTAGATAAGAATAATGGGGTAACATAAGTTATAAGAGCTAATAAGTAGCCTGACCTAATGAGCCAATCAGTTTATAACCTTATGGAGTCTTGTGCGTGATTTTTCCTTGGGACTTGCTGGCTTGTTGGGGTACTGGGTGGGACAGAAACCCCAACAAGCCAGCCCTCATACTACAGAGCAAAAGCACACGATCTTCCCGGCAGGCTTGAGATGTCTCTCTCTCAGAGTCACTCCATTGAAGCAAATTGCCCCCATCCTAAAATAATACTGCACAATAAAAGAGAGACTTTTTTTAAAAGCAATATTAAAGTCAATATTCAAAATGGCGTACCAAAATATTTGTGAATTCTTCCAACACATGGATGTTGCAAGAGACTTGGTCTGGTGTAAAACCAACTAAGAGATGGATGTCGTGACCCAGCTACTTCCAGAGCAACTTTTGTAAGTTTGCATCAATAGAACAAAGAAATCTTATCTTTTGCTGCAAAAGATAAGTGGAGGTGTCTTTGAGAATCTAGGCCAACATTTATTCTGATCTTTTCAAAAAAAAAACAAACAAAGCAAAACAAAACAAAAAACAAAAAACCAAAGCACTTATCATTTCTTCATATTTCAGAGGCAAAATTTAATGTGTTTATCTTGGTTGAATTCTTTGGAGGTTGGGTGTATACAACGTGAAAGCCATGACACTTGATTTACAATCCACTGACTGCTCTTCTGCGAGTTTGGAGTGTGCTCGGAAAGTTTACATTTATGTGTGGCTGACAGCCATGTCTGGTACAGGGAAGTAGTCAGAGAACTGGTTAGGGCCAAGCGTGGTCTGTTCTGTCTTTTTCTCTTAAGTACTTTAATTTTCAAAGCATTTACACTGTCTTATTCTCTTCTTTCGAGCCCCAACTCTGGGATTCTGATCCAAGAAATAGGTAGAAGGATTCCAATCAATGTTCAAACATGCTTTTCTCTTTTGGTTAGGCCCCCTGAACCCATGAAGAACTGGTCAAATGTTAGTGACAAGGTACAAAAAGTATCTCTTATGGTTTCTAGCTTCTAGAAGTTTCTTGGGAATTGCTAACAATTAGTATCTTACTCAAAAAAAAATTAAACTTCTTAGCTAAGGTCTTCTCAGTTCCTAGACTTCAGTAAAATTTTGTGAGTATCAGTGCAAGATAATTATATTCTGAATTGCCCGCTAGACTAAACACCCTGAGAATTCAAATTTTGTCTAATTTCACACAGGAATAGAAGGCATGTTTTGCTCACAACAGATACTTATTAAATGGGGATCAGTTGATTTGAATTAAACAGGGAAGTCAGTTTTGAGCCCAATGTTTACAATGTTAATCTAAATTGTTGATAAAAAGAAAATCTGATAATCATGCTACTTAGTATTATTTGTTTTCACCATGTGTATACATTAAGAAAAGATTTC